AGGCCTGGCTGGTTCCGTTCCACTTTTGGTATCTCGGTTTGCTCCAGATAGAAGCGGTGAATTTGATCACTGGTGGGGTTTTGTTGGATGTGGTGGGGATACAAGGAAAATTGCTGAGAGAGGAGTTTTAGGCAGGGAAGATCGGCAGGGAAAGGAATATTTTGGGCGAGAAGGGACTGATAGTGGGGAAGGGAATCGATCTCTTGAAGATGGCGATTGACGAGAAGCGCTTTGCACTTGATCGCTGGCAATTGCAGTTTTAGTCCTCCATGCTCTTTACTGCGCGCCAGCTGCTGCATTGGGACACGTGCTGCCAATCCTCGAAACAGGAAAGTCCCCATTGTCGCTGTCAGCTTTGCCGTGTGGATACATTGCGGTGGTAATATGGAAGAGAGGTACCACACCTTCGCTGTGATGAAGGTGTTAAGTAATATTACCTTTTGCTGCAGGGTAAGGGAGCGCATGTTATGCATCCATATAAGCTGCCGAATTTTGTTGATTAGCGTATCCCAGTTTAGCTTCACTGTAGCCACTGAAACTCTTTCAAGCGATCCAATACACGGTTGTTGTTATTGGAATATGCTTTAGCTGTAAGTGTTTTATTATAAGTATACATGTTTAGAATATATATAATATTACCTACAAATTTTCAGTATCTTCACTTTAACAACGAGATTCTTCCCTTTAGGTGGTTTTTCAATTTTAGGTTACGAAACTAGGATAGTAAATTTTGCGTGTTAGATGTAAGCTTTAGCATATAATTTCACATTTTATATTTGAAGATTTACTTACTTGTAGTAACTGTAAATACTAATTTTAATTTGTATATACTAATTAACTAGGTTTATCTAGACTTTAATAGCGCTTTCAATGAATGCACGCGTGGTGTTATCACGGCACTATCACTCTTATCAATCATAAACAACACGCTCATCTGTCTGTCGGTGTCAGTTGGCACTCGCTGTCCCAGTGTACCGAGTACGGCGCCGTCGCCGTAGGGCATCTTCATCGCGGGGAGGTTCTCGTCGCCACATTCACCATCAGCCGCACTGAGTTTGCAAAAATAACACCCAGAACCTTCACCTTCTCTGTATTCTGTACTCCTGGTATCAACAGTGGATCCCCATTGATGAATCCAACATCGATTGCCACTGTTTTATGGCGATTTAGTTTTACCCCGGCAACGACTTCAAAGCAGTCGAACAGCTGAAAGATCCGTTCAATTGTTTGCGTTGATGTTGCTATCACCGTGATATCGTCAGCGTACGCAACGCAAAGATCACCGCCACACACACGCTCCACCCGTGTGAGGAGGGGATGGAGGTAGAGCACAAAGAGCAGCATCGACATCGGATCTCCCTGACGTACGGATCGTTCTATGCGGAACGACTGTGAAAGGTGCCCATTCACTAACAGTCGTGATGAAGAGGTATCGGCCACTCGAGAGAGCCAGCCGACGAAATCATGATTGATTCCCAGAGAGAGAAGGGTTCAATGAAGAAACTCATGAGAGACCCGATCAAACGCGTGATCTAGGTCGAACGAGATCAGCTTCCCTTTCTGTTTTCTTGCGATAAGCTGGGCCACACGATCCTTGAGCGAAAGTGTAGCTTGAAAAATAGAGCGGTCGGTGTTGGCGCATTTTTGAGCGTCACTCAGAACTCGATGTATCTGCAGCACGCGTTCCAAACGGGCCTTCATCACACGGCTAAGAATTTTATAATCGACGTTGAGCAGGCTACTCGGACGGTATGCTCTCGCTGTCCCATCGCCACCTCTCTTTTTGACCAGCACGATTGTGCCAGCGGTGAATTCCGAGGGGAGCTCATTCGTCATAGCCTCATTTATTACGAAGTACAGCTCCCGATAGATGACGTCGAATGTTCGTAGGTAGAACTCTACCGGCAGGCCATCGGTACCAGGCGATTTTCGTTTCTGCGATGTTCGGATGGCATTTTTCAAATCGTCAATAGTGATCTCTGCCATTAGAGCATCGTTGGTTTCGTCGTTCTCGGGTACGACTCTCTCGTTTATAAAAGTTTCTTCCCCAACCTGCCTCGCCTCTCCAGCCGCATACAGGTCCCTGAAGTATCGGAACATGTGTTGTTCGATCTCCAGGGAGCATTGTATTTGTTCTCCTCGCTCGTTCTGCAGTTCTGTTATAGTTGTTTTTTTCCTTCGTCTGTCGCCCAGCTGGAAGGTGGATAAGCTCTCACCCGCAACGAACGTCTCGTTGACGCGGATAAAATTTTGTGCAAAACGTCGCTGCAACATCAGCATTTGCGCTTTGACGCGGTTTATAGTCACCAGCATGGTGGGATTCTGATAGTACGCATCATATGCGAGTCGTAGCTGCGTGTACAGACGTTGGTGTTCAGCGTTATAGATGCTGAATGCTTCGCTCGACTTCCAGCGGAAAAATGACTTGATTTTTGGCTTCGCGTATGAAAGCCACCCTGCCATCCAGCTGGGGAAATTCCTCCGTTGGCGGGTCCAAAACTGCCACCGGACTTGAAAATCGTCAATGTTTGCGGCAGTCAAAAGGTGAGGGCGGAGGGACCAAAAACCACTTCCTTGTTCGCGGCCGAGGTCGGGAAGGCAAATTCGTGTTGTAAGAGCCTTGTAGTCTGAAAATGAACATACGTGCGTGGCAGCGCTTCGCAGATGCTCGCATAGCCCAGCGCTGACATACATACGGTTGAGCCTGGACGCCGCATTGTGAGTGACGTACGTGGGTGCGGGGGATGTGGGGTACAGTTTAAACCATATGTCGTGTAACTGCAGCTGCCGTACGGTCGCCTGGAGAGCTGGACTTGAGTTGGCACTCGTAGAGTCACTCGGACGTAGCACGCAGTTGAAATCACCGGCAAGGATGACGTGTTGCGTGTTGAAGCGAAGGTAGGAAGCGATCGTGCCGTTGAAAAACCTCTCTCTTTCCGCACGAAAAGCTGTCCCCGATGGTGCGTAGACGTTGCAGAGAGTCGTATTTTGCACCCTCAAAGCAATGAGGCGGCCATCCAGGCTTTTCTCGACATGCGAGAATTGTATGAGGTCTTTTAGCGCGATTGACGTTCCCCGTCTCGCGTGATCCACATTACAGACGACGTTGAAACCAGGAAGAGAGAGCTGCTCATTCTCCACCTCCTGAAGGAAAACGATGTCCAGTTGCAGCGTTCGTACGAAAGACCGAAGTGCGCCGATCTTCGTTGCGTTCGTGATGTTGTTGATGTTGATAGTTGCGAGGTTATAACTGGAGAACTCAGCCATTAGGACGGTCGGTTACTCCCATCTCGCGTATCGTCGTCGTTCTCCACTCGAGGCTTCTTGCCTGGTGGACGAGTGCGGAGATGCCTTTTGGAGCTGGATGAGCCGACAGATGAATCTGTCTCGTTTCCATCGGACTTACCACTAGCAGTTTTGCGATCCACTCCGCCACTAGCAGGGGGCTGTTGACCTGTAGAGGGGATCAACGGCCCGCTATCCGATGGGTGAAGCGAAGCCGAGGTAGAGGCTAACGTAGGAAAATTTTCATCAGTGACGACCGGTGGTGGTAACAACCTCTGTTGTTTTCGTTGGGGAATTTGTTTCGGCGGCTGCATACTTGCCAAGTTTGTGTTGGTTTGGTTGGCACCAGGAGTGACGAAGTTTAATATTGTGTTCGTTGGGTTCGCAGTGGATGCGGTTTGCTTCGTTGTTTGTGAAGTCTTAAGTGATGGACTCATCTGCTTTGCGGCATCGGCATACGTCTTCTGCACGAGCAGTTTTTTATTCTGCACACAGGTAGCTCCTACGTGGATGTATTCCCGGCAGTGTCGGCAAGTTTGACGTTGCCCGAAATACGACACTTGTGTCATCTCCCCGTCTATCGTGACCCACGACTCAATGTTCCTTTCAACGACCATTTTCGCCATACGAACACCGGTTGAGATTCCAGGAAAATCGACTTCGGTTCCATTTCGCTGCTCTCGTACAGCGATGACATCACCGTATCTTCCTAGGAAATCGGCGATTTTTAGGTCCGACACGTCCTCGGACAAATCGTACAGCCTCACCTCCACTGCTCCCTCCTCCAGTGTGATTCTCAACGGATACTTTTTCCCGTCGACTGTAATCTCGTGCTTGTTGTCGTGTTCCTCGAAAATTCGTTGCGCCAATGCTAGGTCGACAACTTTCACGAAGGAAACACCGAGGGTTCTACTGTTTTGGATTCGTAGCACTTCACCTTGCTTCAGACCTAATATGGTCGCACAGAACTTGTGCACTTTGGCATTATCCGGTTTCTTCTACACGTTCGCAAAATCTATGCGAAAGGTGTTTTCTCGACGGCCCATCGCGAAGTCGTTTGGACGCGGAGCGACACGGAACGGCTCAGCGATGAGCAGAGAGAGAAAAAGAAAAAAAAACACAGTTGGCACTGGTAACTAGCTTGTGTTCGACTTCCACAGAACGTTAACAAAAGCGCGTCTGTTCAGCTCGGAAGTTGAGCGCTCACTAGCAATAACAATAACAATATATTCGTTCGTTTGGATTGGTTGCTACCATGCAGGAGTTGAAAACTGTTGACGTTTTTCGTTGTCGTTTGTGCTCTACCGTCGTCAGTTTTTACACACCATAAACGGAAGAACAACATTCGAGCAAATATAAAATTATCACATAACTAACATATGACATGTGTGATTTCGTTCTAATTAGTCAATTTGGTGTAAATTTAACCATTTCTGATCAGAAATGTTATTGCTAGGACACCGTTGTTGCTTGCTATCTTCAGAATTCACACAAGCACAACATCAGCTGCTCTTATTATGAGAAAAACTAAAATACATACATTCGTGACGGTCTTCGGCGACAGTGTCGTGTGACAAAGCCTGGTCATATGACATTTTAGTTTGGTACTGTTATTTGATAGCCTTTTTTGCAAGTGTCGAAAGGAAAGGCAGTCTATTGTCGCAGAAAATGCGTCGACTACGGTGACCGCTTAGAAGACTGCTACCATGGTTCCTTTCTCTATACTAGTACTGATATACTGATATTGCCAATCATTCGCTTATAGCTTTTATTTGCATATTTTTAAATGCTCACAAAACATACAAAGCATGAACCATAAACTACAAACATTTAACAAGAATCATCAGTACCTAACTATATTGCTTAATGCTGCACTGACAAAACAATTATATATTCCAAGAAGCACTACATATTTTTCTAAACCGTGATTGCTTTTGGATTTCCTCGGATAAAACTAACTGTCGACTTAAAAAAATGAGCAAGCACAAAACTGAAAATTCACTACCATCCGGGGAATGATTCTCAGATCACAGAGCTGACGTTGACCTGCCTAAGCGTCGCCATTTCTAAGAACTCTCACCGTCGAAGATTTTGTTGACAAAGAAGTTATCGCTAATGATATGCTGGTAGGAAGCCTTCAAAGTGGTAAGACAGTAGTCGTTCTGGGTGCTGCTGTGGTAATCGCCGGCGGATGCGTCGTTCTGCATCAGGTCTTCCAGCAGGCTTATTTCCGCCCCCAGCTGAGGTATGTTGGCCTTGATGATGAGCAGGATGACTAGTTCCAGCAGACTGTCGGCGGCTATGTGGAAGGTGGTATCTGCATATTTAGAGAAAATTGGTAAGTTTTTATTTTTCTATGAGTAATTCCTTCTTAAATTTAGGGATCCAGTTACCATATTCTTTACTAGCAGCATTGACCAGTTCGAAAGCCTCGTTGATATGTTTCATCATTTCGCTTGGACAGCACTTTTCCTTGAAGCGGTTCAAACTCTCTATTGCTTCCTGGTAGCGCGAACTTTGAATGATCGGAATGAGGACCCTGCAACAAAAGAACCCTTAACTACAAAATGCTACGAATACGTTGGATCGTTGAAACAGACCTATCAATATCCAAGAGTTGAATCAGATTCTCATCCGTCTTCTTTTCGCAGATCAATATCCTTTGACGGTAGATTTCGTCGTTTTTACTACATTTACTCGCATACAGTACGAACAATGCCGAATAGATTCCCTGAGTCATTAAAATTGGATACAGTAGAGTTTGATATGATAGTAGTTCCCTGGAAGAATCAGAACCTAGTGGATGAAAAAGACACTTCAAGAATCATTCGTCGAACCTACCCATCTACGATGGTGGAATCCTTCGGCAGCGCTGGAAACATTACCGTAATCACGAGGGTATAGATCCGGCTTACAACCGAGATCCACTCGTTCATGGCCGGCTCGCAGAGGATCGAATTCGGCGTAAACTTCCAGCAGCTGTAGGTTGAGTAGAAACAGTTCGACAGCTTTTCAAACAGTTGATGCAACGGATGATACTGGTTACGGAAGGCTTCGCTGAGGTAGTCCCGAAGCAGCTCCAGGCCTTGCTTGTCGACTGAGGAGATACAGAAGTCCGGAATGATTTCCAGATCACGAAACGGTGAAGTTCGACTCTGACCGCCGGATGGATTTAACATGAAATCGTCATCGTATTCCCTGGATACAATCGATGAAAAACTTCGCATGGAGATGTTGTCCAATGCTGCCAGGGAGTCGGCTGTTCCATTAGCCGTTCCGTTAGCATTGAGCGAAAGTTTGGAATCAGAAATGCTCGACCTCAATGAAGTAGCAGAAAGATTGGTTAACCGGAAACCATTCTGGCAGATTTGTGCTGCCGATTGGTCATCGAATTCAACCAGTTTCGTTTCGAAATTATTCGTCTTTATTTGCTCTTTCCGTTTTGCCCGGGTAATATAAATGGCTATTTTGTTCCAAATTCTCTTGACGTCCATGGAACGCATTTTACTAATATCACTAGTGTCAAACACCGACTGATGGAAGCAGGTAAAGATGGAAGCCCATTTCCGCTCGGCGTTGATTTTTAGATCCAACCTATACAAAGCAAACAATTTTTCACTAGTAAAACAACTCATCAAGAAATGCGGAACCAACTTACATCGGCACCTTGTTGAACCGTTGATTCATGGCCATGCTCCCATTGGATATTCTAACATTATCCCACGTGCCGGCGAACGTTCCCGTCATTGTATGTCCACTCATCTTTGTATTGGTATCGTCCAGTTCGAACGACTCCGATTCAATCTCCCTCTCCGGATAGTAGAAAACGCCCTTCCCATTCGGACCGTCGATCGTCAGTTCGCCCTTATAATAGATTCCACTCGGAAAAATTGCCAATCCGCCAGCGGAGTTGGACAGTACATCGTTGGCGAACAGTCCCGCATAGTAAGTCCCGTTGGTCGTTATCAGAATCCCGTTGCCATACTTTTTATCGTTGGCAAACATCCCAATGTACTTTACCCCATTCAGACTATCCTCGATCACCCCGAAACCTTCCTTGAGATCATTGACAAAGTTGCCATTGTACTGATATGCACTGGTTATCAAGGTACCGTAGCCGCTGTACCTGTCGTCCTTGAAGTATCCATGATATTTGAAGTACTGCGATGCGCTTGTGTTGGAGGATTTGAGCTTCCCGAAGCCGTTGTACTTACCGTCGTAGAAGTCGCCTAGGGTATAGAGAAAATTGAAAATCGATTACCTATAACTCAAATTTGCAAATGAAACAGATCTAGAATCAGCTTTCAAGTTGGGATTTCTGTTAAGGTTCTTAGAAAGGGTTAGGGTGATTATGACTAAACGAAATCACATTGACTGGTTTTATGAGGTAAAATTACAGGGCCAGAGATGAACCAGCCTCGGGCTGAAAGTCTCCTAAATAAAGACAACTAACCAACCAAAACTACAGAGGCTAAACTTGGACTTCCAATTCAGCTTCTCTAGTCATACCTACGGCAGGGATTATGGATTACCTACGGGAACAAATATACTTCTTCATCGCCCGAGGACTGAAGTGCACCATCAAATACAAGCTAATGGTTCCGGCGGTTCAAACCATGCTGGAAAAGATGAAGGTTGAATACTTCTCCCACGACAACGATGCCAACAAACCACTCAAGGTTGTTGTGCGAGGACTCCCGGACATGGGAACGGATGCTCTGTCGGAAGAGCTTAAGGGCAATGGACTCAAACCGGTCCAGGTGCACAAGATGGCGCGTCATGATACCAGTCGAAAGTTCCGAGACCAGCTGTATCTGGTCCACCTGGAGAAACACTCACCGTGCCTGAAGGGTCTGCAGAACATTGGGGCCCTGTTCCACATCGTGGTGCAATGGGAGCAGTTACGCCCATGTCCACCGTGGGGTCACTCAGTGCTCGAACTGCCTACTGTTCGGGCACGGTGTCAGAAACTGCCGTATGGCCACTCGCTGCAACAAAAGCATGGATGTCACGACGAGACGACGAGAATAGCGTCAAACGAAAAGAGGAAGAACAAACACGAAGAACAAAAGTTGACATAGTTGTTGATCTATTATTATCCTTATTCTATTATTCTACTTATCTAATATTCATTTAATTAAATTAAAATTATAGTACGGTCTAAATTGAAGAAGTAGAGTGGGAATTCGAGTCATACCACTTCCAGAGCAAGTACACCAAATTTGTAAGTCTTAAAATTAATAAGTTACGCATCTTTACTGAAATAAACTCTAAATTGCAGCTTTAAGCTATCACACACACAACCCACAAAGTGTAAACTCATCCCAACAATGGAGGAAGGGGACTACAAATGCGCCAACTGTGAGGCAACCACGGGCCACCAGCAAGACCTGCCTGAAACGGGCGGATTTCGTGGCAATCCGCCTCCACAAACAACCAGCCCGGTCGCAAGAAGTTTCCAGATAACAACTTTTCCACGGCTCTCGATCCCGGTGCTTCCACCGCCTCCACTCAACAATCGTCTGGCTGCAGTACGAATTTCCCGTAGAAGTTTACGGCTCCGAGAAACGACCGAGCTCCCGACACATTCGTGGGTGCCGACATGAGCTTGATGGCTTCGATCTTGGATGGATCAGGACGAACTCCATGGTGATCGAGTAAGTGTCCAAGATATTTAATCTGCTGACGAACTCTTGCAGACGCTGGAAAAGTGCGTGCAGGTTCCGCCAATGCTGTCCCTCATCTTCTCCGCCGACTACGATGGCATCGATGTAACCGCAAGTGTGCTTGAGACCCGCCAACATGATGTCAACGAGTTACTGGCACGCTCCCGGCTCAGCTTTTACTCCGGGTGCCAGTCGGTTGACTTTGTACATACCCCGGTGGGTGTTGATTGCGAGGAGCTTACTCAATGATTCGTCGACTTCAAGCTGCAGGTACGATTCAGACATGTCGATGATGCTGAATACCTTGTAGTTGGCGAGCTTGATGAAGATGTCTTGCGGCAGCGGCAACGGGTATTGGTGCAGCTGGGGAGCGTCGTTCAAGCCCGTGAAATAATCACCGCAAATCCGAATATTGCCGTTTGCCTTCCGAACCACCACAATCGGAGCAGCCCACTCCGAATAGTCGATTGGCGTGATGATCCGCAAGCGCTCGAGACGGTCAAGCTCATCATCGACAGCCTGGTACATGACGTAGTCCACCGGACGTTTTGGACGAAACACTGACCTTTGTCCTGACTTGAGGTCGAACTTTACCGTTGCTTTCGTACACCGTCCGAGGTTGGTGCTCTACGATGGATGAAGAGGAATTGCTGACCTCTCGAAAGAAGACGTTCATCGGAACGGAGTCGAGCTGGAATGCTTCCACCAAATCCAGACCTAGGATGTGTAGATCTTGCACGACGACGTAGATCGTTCCTACTTGCGTTACGTCATTGACGGTGATCGAGCAATCGAACTCCGCTAGTAGCTTCAGAGGATCGCCCGATGCGGTTTTCGCGTTCACTGACGGTGATCTGATTGGTGGTTTTCCTAGCTGCTTCCAGGTCTCGGATGATACGACGGTGATGTCAGAGGCAGATTCTCCCTCGTACATTGTTCACTGCGACTTGGACAGTCTTCGTGTCTACAGCCACTGTTCTCGTTCGTCTCTTCACCTGCTTCCGAGGGGACTTTTCGATCACTTTCACAGTAACGTCCATATTGGTTACATTTAGCGCACTTATGGTCTTTGTACTCACAGTCCCTTGTGTAGTGCATCGATCCGCACTTCCGCAGTTGCTGCAAACACGAACCAGCAAACGACTGCTGCACGCTGCACCACGTTCGGAACCCTCCCCGGGGCCTGGACCTTAACTGGCGTCGCGATCAGGAATCGAAACCACAAACCAACGACAACACTAATGCTCCATACTCACCGGAGCAGTTGATCCCCCTATTCACCCAGCTGTCCAACTCTCTGTGCAGCTGCAAACCCCGATTCGATCAGATTCAAACCCTGGGCCTTTTCGTCATTCAATATGGCCTGTGAAACCATCAGCATCGCAAATTGGAACGCTTGCTCGCTCAAGAGCAAAAACATCGAGATCATTGACTTCTAACGAAACATTGACATTGTCGTCATTACCTAAACGCACCCGAAGCCCGAGATAAATGTCTTCTTTCCTGACTTACGGCTCGTGCGGTTTGATAGAACCAGCTCCGGGGGAGGGGAAGTGACCGTCACTATAAGGAGGAACATATGCTGCCGACTACTACCAAGTTTCCAGCTGAAAGTCATCGAAGCCACTTCTATCGGCTTCATTTCCATAATTGCGGTCTATTGCCCCAAGTAATACTCAACACCAGAGACGGAACCATCCTAAACAACGAACGGCAAGAAGCTCGCTACAATATCTTGAACCCGGACACGCCCACCCGGTTGAGTCGGTCCGGTGTTCACTTCTTCTTCTTCTTCGCATTTCAAGCTTATTGTATATCGCATATTAGCTTATTGCGTGCTCTAAACTTAGTGTTCTAGATGCACTTCCACAGTTATTAATTGAGAGCTTTCGATGCCTGTACCATTTTTGCATTGGTATAATTGTGTGGCAAGTCCAATCATACTTCTATGCCCAGGGAAGTCGAGAAATTTTCCAACCCGAAAAATTCCTAGACCGGACCGGGAATTGAACCCAGCCACCTCCAGCATGGTCTTGCTTTGTAGCTGCGCCTTTGCCGACTGAGCTAAGGGAGGCCCCGAGGTCCGGTGTTCACGCTACCATCGATATCTTCATCAGCAACATAAGCAGCAACAACATCGCTCAACCTATAAGGAACTCAGCTAGGACCACTATCCGATGGTGGCCGAAGTTAGTTCCTCCGTGAACCGATTTGAAGCGTCAGTTCCAACACTGCGTCGACACCGCTGTCAACAACGATGTTCAACCGGAATCGTCCGAAGACTTTGACCAGTGTCTGCGTTCCATCGTAGAGGCGATATCCCGATCCAGGAATCAACACATACCAGTACCCAGACAGGTGAGCAATACTTTGAACCTTGACAGATATACCAAAGACCTTATAAGACTCCGTAACACCATCCGAAGGCAGTACCAATGCTCTGGTCTGCCTGTCCATAAGACCAATTGCAATCGCCTTACCAAAATTACCCAAATTAGGCCCATTCCACCACTGATACCGCTGAATCGTTCCGACGATTCAGTGGTTCATCTGATAACCCAGGTTACCGTTACGACCTGTGTTGTTATTCAGATCGGTGTGATTTTGCGCTGTTAAATTTGATGATTTTTTATCACACGGGCTATCGTTCTTTGTTTTTCCCGTTCTGTAGACTTGCAAAATTTTACCGGTTGTTACTGGAAAGTGCAGTTCGTTGTGATAATCGTCTATTTGGAGCCAATATTCCGTGTTGTGAAAACAGTGAAAAAGTTATCTAATCGGTCATCTTGTACACGGCGAATGAGAACGACCCAAATTTGAGTTTAGTTCACTCATAATCGCCAAAAGTGCAGGAACTCAGCGATGAGTAAATTTGTCTCATGGTTTCCTGTGGAAAACCTAAAAAATCTGCCGGAAAATGAGGAAATTGATGAAAATTTTATTCAGTCTTGGAGTAGTACCAATAGACTGAGCGAATCCAATTTTTACTTTTCTCAAATTCGGGAATTTTTCCCTGGAAAATCCTCGAAAAACCTGGAAAAACATGAGATAAATTTTACTCATCGCTGAGTTCATGCACTTTTGGCGATTATGAGTGAACTAAACTCAAATTTGGGTCGTTCTCATTCGCCGTGTAGTGTTTACTGTTGTTATTTTCGATATCAGACACTCTGCCGAATCCAACTGCTCCTTGCATATTAGAGCATCTCCACCGCTGTTTCTAAATTAGATTTGGAAACTGAGTCAGCATGACTTCCGCTTGTGACCAATGCGCTAAACCAGTTAAAGGCGATGAAGAATCCGTCTCCTGCTCTACACTAGCCCGAACTTGTTTTGAAGGTGCAACGAGTGCGCGAAGCTGATGAAATGTGCCCGGTTCAAAACTGCTGTTTCGTCGTTTGGTAGTGCGATTAATTCTATCACCAAGAAACAGGAAATGGCACACGCTGAGCTTACACAGCAAAAAAAGTTGTTGACTATTACATCGAAACTGCTGCAACCAGGTCAATCCATCGGTTGTGTAATATCACATTGTACGATGTACATCGATTTTGCGAACAAAATTACATCCATTGATGTAATATTGTATCTGCGTTTTGCTATTACATCATTATTTCATACATCAGCTTGAATTACGTTGATCGATATTACATTTTTTTTTTGCTGTGTAGGAAGGAAATGACTAAACAAGGACAGCAGATCGCTCAGCTGTCGAAACGAATCGCATTGACAACTCCAACACACTTGAGTTCCAGCGATCTTATGCGTCAACCGCCATTAAAACGGTGCCGCGATGAAGGCTCGCTCACCAACAAATCCCTTGTTGGTGGCACTAAAGCAGTAACGGATGACAATGTCTTTACCGAGGACCTTACTGTCCCTGAACCCACCGAGCTGTTTTGGCTGTACCTTTCTCGTATACATCCTAGCGTGAAATCGGAAACAATCGAGAAGCTGGTCAAAGGTTGTGTACAGTAAACCAGAACTCACTGCCTGTCGCATTATGGGAGACCTCGAACCACTCGATCCAGTCGCGCTAGCTGTTTCCCGCCATCAAAGTCGATCTATTTCCTGCCATCAACGTCGTTCTGGACCTGCGGTCGAGTTCGGTGGTGGGGTCTTCCAACCATCGTTTTCAGACAAGTATGCATACATTAGTTACAGTAATTTTCCTGATCAGCTTCCGTGTTTCAGTGCAACGCCTCAAGCATCTGCCGGCTATTTCCAGTTGAGAATCACTTCTGACACTGCTCATTGACAACATCCGCTTTACTGTTCGAACAATCCTAATTCATCTCCGGGACGCACAATAGACCGCTCTTTGGAAGCTCCTGGTTCCTCCAGCATAATCGTGCTGATTCCTGCCAGCGTTCAGCATAGTCGTCCTGGACCTGCTGTGGGATGTGGAGCCCCTCTTCCAACCCACTCACTATGGCGAGTATCCAATGAGACTTGATAATGGTCAGTTATTGCCTGATGTATCTGTGATTTCCAGGGAGAGCAGTCGTTCGATTCCTTGTCGCAAGCAGGACGTCGTGATCTTCTACCAAAACGCCGGTGGGCTGAATTCTGATGTTGAAGAGTACCGCCTAGCTGTATCGGATTGTTGCTACGATATAATTGTCCTGTGCGAAACGTGGCTCGATTATCGAACGCTTTCCAGTCAAGTCTTTGGTCCTGACTACGAGGTCATTCGTTGCGATCGGAATACTAACAACAGCCGTAAATCTACTGGTGGAGGTGTCCTTGTAGCTGTCCGTGGCGGGTTGGAGGCAAAGGCCATCGAGAACGATTCATGGAACTATGTGGAGCAGGTTTGGACAGCCATCAATCTGGGTGATCGCACACTCACAGAAATCTATGCGCTCTGTACATTCCACCTGATCGAGTCCGGGACAATGAACTCATCGATACTCAATGTCGATCAGTGCCACTCCAGTTGATGAGTTATTCATTTTTGGTGACTTCAATCGGATTCCTGTATCCAGATCCTGATAGCTCTACATTTCACGCAGGAGCTATTAGCCTTCTAGACAACTACAGGGCAGCGACGCTTTCTCAAATTAACCGTGTAGTTAACGAAAATGATCGTTGTTCGAACCTATGCTTCGTGAGCACACAGGACAGGGCTCCATCAATTTCCTCGGCTCCTTTTGCGCTAACTAAGCTAGTTTCACATCACCCTCCTCTAATTGTCACTGTTGAGGACAAACTCGTGTGTGATTTCGACGACTATCCTGCTACGGTTTCTTATGACTTCCGTAAAGCTGACCACCGTAGCATCATAGATGCATTGTCTAGCATGGTATGGGAGAACATCCTTGATCCAGATGACGTTGAGGCTGCAGCGCAAACCTTTTCACATGTCTTGGCATATGACATTGACACACGAAACGAAAATCAAATATTTAATTCATGTGTTTCACTTATACATTTTTGCCAAAGCATCAGCCTTATACATTCCATAAGACAAACCACATAGGTCCTATTAGAATGCATAGAAGGTATGTGTGACCGCTTATACATTTCATTTGACACATGATCTTTATTAACTTTTTGCAATGCGTCTGCTTATTAGTTGACTTATACATTTTATGAATAATCAGCAATGGAAATTTGCCAAAAGGTATAAGGAGATTTCTATCCGTGCAGACACGTCCCGAAAAGAACATACCACAAAGTGTCTCACCCTCCCTGGCCGACGAGAGAGCTGCGTAGGTTGAAGTCAATAAAGAGAGCAGCATTGAGAAGATTTACGAAGTATCGCACGCTTCCTCTGAAACTACATTATGTGAGGCTGAATCACATGTACCAGCGAGTCAGTCGTGAATGCTTTTCAAGTTTCCAACGAGGCATCCAGCGCAAACTTAAGCTAAACCCGATCTTTTCAGAACTATGTGAACGAGCAACGCAGGGAATCCGGCCTCCCATCGTCTATGGAATTCAACGACCGTTTAGGATATATGTCACAATTTTTCTGAAAAATTTGCCAGTGTATTCACTAATGAGATACTAACTGACGACCATATTAACCTGGCTGCCAGGAACGTTCCAGTAAATGATCAAACGCTGGGTGCAATTGATGTTAATGCTGAGATGATTTCTAAGGCCGCGACTCTGCTCAAGTCATCCTTCAATCCTGGACCTGATGGAGTTTCATATGTATTTTTGAAGAGACATATTGCTAGCTTGTTAATTCCGCTTCTTCGCCTGTTCCGAATGTCGCTCTCCAGTGTCATGTTTGCCCGTCGACAAAAAAGGAAGGAAACGAGCTGTGGATAACTATCGAGGAATTACATCGTTAAGTGCCGTTTCGAAGCTATCCGAAGTTGCTGACCCATTGCAAGCAGTATTTGAGTGCTGATCAACATGGGTTTACTGTCGGCTGCTCTACAACCACCAATCTGCTGTGTCTCACATCGTATATAACCGAAAGCATGTCGGATCGGGTTCAAACGGACGTTATTTATTCAGACCTATCCGCAGCATTGGACAAGTTGAACCATGCTATTGCGATTTCTAAACTCGACAAGCTCGGTGTATGCGGTCGGCAACTAAAGGTTGCCATAGGAGATTGCAGATCAGTTAGCTTCTTTGCCACATCAGGTATACATCAGGGAAGCCACATGGAACCGTTAATTTTTATACTGTACTTCAACGACGTGCATCTGGTCATCGAAGCTCCTCGGTTATCATATGCAGATGACCTCAAAATCTTCCTACGAATCGGAGCAATTGCTGACTGTCACTTTCTTCAACGTCAGCTCAATGTATTCGCTAGTTGGTGCAGGTTAAACAGAATGGTAGTGAACCCAGCCAAATGCTCCGCTATATTACGTTCTCACGAAAACAACAACCGATAATATTTAGCTATGACCTGCTTGGCTCGACAATCGAACGCGTGAATCAGGTGAAAGACTTGGGTGTGATCTTGGATTCGCAGCTTTCATTCAAGCAACACATTGCATATGTTGTTGATAAGGCGTCAAGAACTTTAGGATTCATTTTAGGATAGCTGAAAACTTCACTGATATCTACTGTCTAAAATCTCTCTATTGTTCGCTTGTTCGATCGACGCTTGAGCATTGTTCAGCGGTTTGGAACCCAAACTACAACAACGGTGCCGAGAGAATTGAATCTGTTCAACGTCGCTTTCTTCGTTTTGCGTTGCGCAGATTGCCTTGGAATGATCCGTCTCGATTACCCAGTTACGAAAGCCGTTGTCAAATTATCGACCTAGAACTTCTCCGGACTAGTAGACACAAGCAGAATCCTAACTGTGGCCGATATCCTGCAAGGATGGACAGATTGCGAGGCTATCTTGGGGCAAATTGACCTGAATGTTCAACCCCGACCGCTTCGTAATAACCTTATGCTAAGACTGCCTCTACGTCGCACACATTATGGAGCATACGGTGCGATTTGCGGACTGCAGAGAACATTCAACAGAGTTGCATCTGTTTTAGACTTTCATCTCTCCCGTGAAGTCGTCGAAAGTTTTCTTCTGTTTTTCGCCGGCAGGAGTAACTGACTATGAGATATATGTTTTTTTATGTTATGACCAAGCTTGAATGTATTTTTTTTACTATAGTTGATAAGGTTAACATCATTGGGGCTTCATCCAACCTGTTAATGTAAAACAACAATAAAATAAAAATAGACATTGGTAGACGTTAAAAACGCGTTTGACAATGTCTGGCATGATGGCTTGGTGTACTGGTTGCATCTTCCTCGCGAAGATCATACAAAATTATCTATCAGCAAGGACGATCCAAGTCTCTCTGAATGGCATCACATCGGATGACTTCAATATCGGTTGTCCACCCTGTCCCTGAAAAATAAGCTTGCTGTCTACAAGCAAATCATCCACCATTTGAACTGCCAACACTAGTGATACACCATGCAAATACACCCTCGGGATGTTTTTTTTGTTCCGCCTTGGTTCTTCCTTCGCAAATTTATGTGGAGAATTAATTATTGAGAGTGAAGAATTAATTATTGAGAGAAATAATTATTAATTATTGAGAGTGGAGAATTACGCCCGGAGATTCTTTGGTCTTACTTTTTGAGCGTTATTTATATGCAATCGCCAGTCAGTTCCGTCGAATTATTTTCCCTGAACCGGCAATATCAATTTAATTCGGTGGTTTTCGATCCACAATCTATACACGCAGCAGGCCACACATACACAAACTCTTTTCAAAAACGTCATTAACCATTTGAGTCTTGAACAGTTCGGAAGCAAGGTAATCTAAATTCAAAATACATTTCAAGACGTTCTCCTAGTCAAAAGAAGATGTACCCCGGCGGAGCTCTTCCAAACATCGATGACTGCGGTGCACCCCGTGGAAGACCCTGCAACCCCTGCTGTTACCCATTCAGCGTCCCACCACCCAACGTGCCCTGCCGGTTCGTGTACAAACACATGATTTTTGACCACGCCCTGAGACTGCGCAACTCCGGATTTTTCGATTGAATTGGATAGGAATGAAATAAAATACTAGTCGAGAGCCACATGCAACTTACCTTCATACACCGTTCCGATTCCGTAAAGCGTTCGATTCATGCAACCGTAACCGGTAATGTCCCCATGGTAAAATTCTCCTTTGTACGATCGTTCCTTTCCCTTCAGTTCCCCAATGCCATCGATCTGCCCGACCTTCCAAATTCCGTTGTACTCCATTCCACCGTACTTGGCATGTTTCTCAGTGAACCGATACGAGCTGTATCGATACATCGGTTGCTTTGCCGACGGTTCCTTCTTCAGGTTTCGCATCACGTGTGCCTTGAGCGTATTCAGCCAAACCCCCTTGTCCGCCGAATTCATCGTATAGCAACGTAAACTTTCCTCCGGAGCAATTATGTTTATCATGAAGCGCAGTTTATCCCGATGCTTGTTTTTCAGCGTTTCTTTGATCTCCGCCGAGATCCAAATCAGCTCCAGCGGGTACTCGACGAGTTGCATCCCGGAAAGATAGCACAGAACGTCGGAAAACAGGACGATCCGCGGAGACGAAGAGAATATGTTCACCTCCAGCAGTTTCAATGGCACATCTGTCGAATCCAGTATCACCCTCCGGTGGCATTCCCTGAGGGCGTACCATCGGAAGTTTTCCTCGTTCAGCCAAAATTCTTTGGTTGTTTTGGTAAACTTGCCCATTTCTTCACTAACCTCTTCGTTCAGGAATCTGAGCCACTCGCTTTTGATGTTGAGCAGTCGATTTTCCACCTCCTCACTGAGCGATTTGTTTGCATTGACTAGAACTTCGATCAGTTCGATGAAATTTTTAACGTTATCTAGGTAGATTTGGAGCAGCTTCTGTTCCGACTCGTGCATCAGTCCGAGGCAGTCGCTATCGCAGTAGCATTTTACGATCTGCCTGTACAGGAAATGTACCTCTTCGTGCATCAGTAGCGATACAATTTTGGTGAGATCGTTATCCAGAGCACATTTGTACAGAGATTTCAAATTAAGCAGTAAAAGATAGAATAGTCTCGTGCAGGAACGGTAGAAGAAGTGCGGTGCTAGGATATTCGAGGGGTTCCTCAATATTCGAGTGATGTCGTATTCTTTGAAATGTTTCAGCAATTTTTGAGTCGTTGTTTGCTCCTTGGTATAGACTCGTATCAGTTCTTTGTTCAGCGGGAGGTGATTCACGATGATAAGACTATCGGTTGCCAATATCAGAGGCAATTCGTCCGGGGCAATCCAGTTGGGTATTTCTAGCTGTTGCTTTCTATCTGCACATTCGTAATTTAAGCTTTCTTCGTCCATTCGTACGTCATGAATTCGCAAATCGTTTGTCACAATGTAGGTCTGGTAGTTCCCGCAAGCTACGTCCAGAATGTGCAGGAACCGGTTGAACAAAGTGGGAGTGCTGGCACTGCTCAACGAGAGGCTGCTGTCCAGGGAAGCTTGATTCTTGTGGGTGTCACCCCAGAGGAACAAATTGCCATCGAGCGTCAGGGCCGATGAGTAGTCACAGCAGGTGGCAATCTTCGAAACATTGAACAGCTTCAGGTGGACGATTTTGTCCCTCCGGATGTGATCGCCGGTACCGAGTTGACCTGTTGGGAGAAGATTTGACAAAAATAAATTATTAGTTAATGTATGGGAAAAGTTCGCTGTGTGAACAATTGGGTGGGGCATGTGACATTTTGCAGGACACCTCGAGCACAAGCTCTCTGATCTCATATACGCTTATAGGTGTACGTACACGGCGAATGAGGACGACTCAAATTTGAGTTTAGTTCACTCATAATCGCCAAAAGTGCAGGAACTCAGCGATGAGTAAAATTTGTCTCATGGTTTCCTGTGGAAAACCTAAAAAATCTGCCGGAAAATGAGGAAATTGAAGAAAATTTTATTCAGTCTCGGAGTAGTACCAATAGACTGAGTGAATCCAATCTTTACTTTTCTCAAATTCAGGAATTTTTCCCTGGAAAATCCTGGAAAAACCTGGGAAAACATGAGGCAAATTTACTCATTGCTGAGTTCCTGCACTTTTGACGATTATGAGTGAACTAAACTCAATTTTGAGTCGTTCTCATTCGCCGTGTGCTGTAATTTTTTTTTTCATATGATATGTCGAATCGATTTGCGGTGTTCGAACAAGTTGTTCGCGTAGTTTGTTAAATTTAAGTTTCGGTGAAAAGTGTGAATTTTTGAAAATTACCTTTCCGATTCTCATACTAACTTTAAAATTCTCCCGCAAATCCAGATCGCAACCGAATTCGTTCAAATTCAGCGTAATTGTTGGGAACTTCAATACAAATCGAAAGAGCAGAGGACAACAGGAGGTTGTACTCAAGCATGCAAACTTAAATTACACGGCGAATGAGGACGACTCAAATTTGAGTTTAGTTCACTCATAATCGCCAAAAGTGCAGGAACTCAGCGATGAGTTAAATTGCCTCATGTTTTCCCAGGTTTTTCCAGGATTTTCCAGGGAAAAAATCGCGAATTTGAGAAAAGTAAAGATTGGATTCACTCATTTTATTGGTACTACTCCGAGACTGAATAAAATTTTCGTCAATTTCCTCATTTTCCGGCAGATTTTTTAGGTTTTCTACAGGAAACCATGGGACAAATTTTACTCATCGCTGAGTTCCTGCACTTTTGGCGATTATGAGTGAACTAAACTCAAATTTGGGTCGTTCTCATTCGCCGTGTACATCATTCGCTGCCAAACTGTTGAGCAGTACAGTCGACGTTTCTTCTTTCGCTCTCTTCGTTCGTTCGATTGCGTTGTTCCGTTTTTCCTCGCGTTTAATAGTGACGCTCTCTCTGACCCAGTCATGGGTAAAAAATCGCGCGGTAACGCGAGTGCCGGCAATCCCGGGAAACGGTCTAGGCCTGAAGACAACAGTGACAGTGCGACTGCCGCGAAGAAGCTGCTCGGCAACAATCGGTTCTCCGTTCTGAAGGACGGTGCAGAACCGGTGACGGTAACAACAGGACCGCCGAAAAAGGACAGAATGCCGCCCTTCTACGTGAAAGGCTTCCCTCCCGGACTGCGGGAAAAAATAAACTTGTACATCACGAAGGGCGTCCGGTGCACCATCCAGCTGTGCACGGAAGGATACAAATTGATGGTTCCTGCGTTGAACCATTACAACGCGGTTCAGGCCATTCTGGACCAAGCACAGGTGGAGTACTTCTCCCACGACATCGAGGCTGTTGAGCCGTTCAAGGTAGTCCTGCGAGGACTATACGACATGGACACAGGCGTCCTCTTGGAAGAGCTGGTGGCTAATGGACTAAAGCCGGTCCAAATTTACAAGATGGCCCGCCACAACAAGGCCGTCAAGTACCGCGACCAGCTATACCTGGTCCACCTTGAGAAGAACTCAACAACTTTGATGGACCTCCAGGGCATCCGCGTCCTGAAGTGGGAGCGGTACAAGCCGGTCAGTCGTGGAGTCACCCAATGCTCGAACTGCCTGCTGTTCGGGCATGGAACGAAGAATTGCCATATGGTCAGCCGCTGCATCAAGTGTGGCAAACAACACAAAACCGACGCCTGCGACAGACTCGATGAAGCCGATCCCATTTGCGCCATCTGCGGTGCTGATCACAAAGCTACAAGCAAGGCCTGTCCGAAGCGCACCGAGTACATCGAGATCCGGAAGAAAGCATCGACGAAAAACCAGCCTGGCCGCAAGAAAGTGCCGGAAATTAATGACCAGAACTTCCCACCGATACCTCGACGACCGATTACAGTGCTGCCACCGCTACTCAATCAACGATTGGCTGCTACGGCGACCGCCACCGCTCAAGTTCAAACTGCCAGAGTCCCTGCAAACTCAGGCCAAAAGACGACCGCTGCTCCACAGCCTCAGGATCTCCCCACAGCCCCTGGGCTAAACTGGCGTCAGGATGGACCGTCCCTACCGCAGCCCGAAATCAACGATGGTTCTTGGTTCACCGCAGCGGAACTAATGATCATCTTCCTCAAGATGCACGACATTGCCAACACCATCAAGAACAAATCCGACCAGCTCCAAGCTGTGGCTTGACCTTCATGCTCAGTTATGGACCGTGAAACCATCAAGATCGCCAACTGGAACGCTTGCTCGCTCAAGAGCAAGATCATCGAGTTCGTTGACTTCCTCAACGAACAAAACATCGACATTGCCGTTATCACCGAAACCCACCTGAAACCGGAGGTAAACATCTACCTTCCTGACTTCCGGCTTCTAAGACTTGATCGAACCAGCTCCGGAGTAGCCATTACTGTAAGGAGAAACATCTGCTGTCGGCTTTTGCCGAGCTTTCACCTGAAAACCATCGAAGCTTTAGGGGTAGAAGTCTCTACTCCTGTCGGACCTATCACCATCATTGCGACCTACTGCCCCAAGCAAGTCACCATCAGGGACGGGTCGGCAGCAGACCTGCGGAGGGACATCATCGCTGGCGACCTGAACGCCAAACACCAGGCTTGGGGCAGCAGTCGACGCAACCAAAACGGCACCAACCTGAACGACGACCTGCAAGAGGCTCGCTACACCATATTAGCACCGGACTGTCCCACCCGGTTGAACCGATCTGGCGTACACTCCACGATAGGCATCTTCATCAGCAACATGGGAGACAGCATCTCGCTACCTGTGACTCATCAGGAGCTGAGTTCGGACCACTATCCGGTGATGGCCGAAGTAGGCTCATCCATCAACCGAAGCCAAGCTTCCCGACGCAACTACCATCGTGTCAGCTGGGAGCAGTTCCAACACTGTGTCGACTCCACTGTCGACTACGGTGTCCTTCCGGAGACGTCCGAAGACGTTGACCGGTGTCTACGTTCCATCGAGGAGGCGATATCCCGGGCCAGGGAACAACACGTGCCAGTATCCAGACAGGTGAGCAATACTCTGAACCTTGATACGTTTAGAGATGAACTAGCCTAAGGCTAAAAATCTCTTAAATAAAGAATTAAAAAAAAAAAAAAATTAACCTTGATAGAATTACCAAAGATCTCATCAGACGCCGTAACTCCATCCGAAGGCAATACCAGCGTTCTGGTTTACGTGTCTTGAAGACCCATTGCAATCGTCTTACAAAAACCATCCAAGCCATCCGCTCTCTCCCAGATAGTGCAAAGCCCTTCTGGAAACTAGCGAAAATCCTTAAAAATAAGCCAAGACCCATTGCACCACTGACCCTACTGGATCGTCCCGGCGACCCAGTGGTTCATCTGATAACTCCTGAAGAGAAGGTTGCCGCGATAGGTCAACACTTCGTCAGCTCCCATAATCTCGGACAAAACATTGTCAGCCCTCATGAATCTGAGGTTGCTGAAAATGCAACCAATCTTCATCAGATTCCTAACATTTTTCCAGAGGAATCTGAGATTACGGCTGACGAACTGTTGGCCTTTATCAAATCATCTAAAAACATGAAGGGCCCAGGTTTCGACAACATCCTGAATCTGGAACTCAAACACTTGATTTTTTATCAGTGCCTCAGACTTGGCTACTTCCCCTCGTATTGGAAGTCAGCTAAAGTCATACCCATCCGGAAACCTGGGAAGGATCCGTCCTTACCTTCAAGTTATCGACCAATCAGCCTTCTCTCAGGGTTATCAAAACTGTTCGAAAGAGCAGTCTACCACCGGCTCCTAACCAGGCATACCAAAAGTACTGCCTCATGACAGTATTCCAACGGCTGTCGCTTTCTTTTCCCTACGACAGCCTTGAGATTGAGCTATAAGCAACAGCCCACAGTGAGGCTGTTATACGACATGCAACGTTGCCGTCTTGTGCAGTACACGACAGCTCGTTCTTAGTCATGTATTTTGTTCGTTCGGCTATGACAGCCTCGGATGGTCATTCGTAACGTTCCTCGTACATACAACAAGCAGTTCGGTGAACTGCCGATTCGTTGCTGCTGTCTTTGAAATTTTGTCTGTATGTCGTAAGACTGCTACTACACTACCAGTGTGGCGCCGGAGCTCATTCGGTTGCTATCACGTTCGTGCTGCCCCGCATAAACGCGAACCATAAATTGACCTTACCTAAAATGGTTAAAAATTGTTTATAATCCCTGCTAAACTTTAACTGAAATGGTTATGGAACTTTACATGAACGTTTAATGATAAAGTTTCAACCTTATGTATTATGGTTTTTTGGAAATGGACCTTACAAATAATGGGTTGTTAAGAACCATTACCATTCCAAATTCTTGTTTTCTCCATACATTTTCAGAAAGAGAACTATATAAGAACGTTTTTACTTATGATTTGAGAACATTAATGGTAATGGTTATGGTAGTCAGTAAGGTCCATTAATGGTTTAGTATTATCGCTCAACTTTACGTGGAATATATCGTGAATTGGTAATCAGTAAATTACAGGCAACCAATTCGCGATATATTCCACATAAAGTTGATCGATGTTACAAAACCATTCGTGGACCTTACTGACTACCATAACCATTACCATTAAAGTTCTCAAACCATAAGTTAAAAGGTTCTAATATAGTTCTCTTTCCGAAAATGTATGGAGAAAACAAGAATTTGGAACGGTAATGGTTCTTAACAACCCATTATTTGTAAGGTCCAGTTCCAAAAAACCATAATACATAAGGTTGAAACTTTATCATTAAACGTTCATGTAAAGTTCCATAACCATTTCAGTTGAAGTTCAGCAGGGATTATAAACAATTTTTAACCATTTTAGGTAAGGTCAATTAATGGTTCGCGTTTATGCGGGGCCCATTGCAAAATTTTCATCCAATATTTTTTTAAAAACGTGCGGTCTCCGGCGAAAAATATAAGCCTACCCGACACCAACCTGACTTCTACCAAACCCCAACCCGATGTTGGCCCGACATTGACCCGACATAAACACAAAATTGACCCGACATCGACCCGACATTTGGCCGACGTCGACCATAAATTGACCTTACATTGATCCGACATCGGGCCGACATATCTGTTCGGGATCATTCTTCTGTGTTTTTTCCATACTCCACTGCCGTATATCAATTGTATATAATGTCTCGTGACAGCCTTTTCGTGACAGCCACTTGGGTAAGCTGAGGGATGTCGTCGGTTTATGAAGGCTGTTATGACGACAGAAACATTGAGAACCTGTTCATAAAGAAATGTATAAATACAGCCCATTCGGTTCACTACGTTCCAAGCACGATGATTTTAGCAAAGCGGGTGTAGATGCGACTTTTCTAAGGCCGATGACATAGTAACGCGGAGCGTCGAGCAACGCGTGTTGTTCACGTTTGCTGAATTTCAATAAAGCGTCGAGTGATGCGTGCTATGACATACTCAACGCGTTTTTAAAAGCGCAGCTCGCATTGTTGTCAGTTAAAATAACTGGTCTTTACGCTAATCCTAAACTACCCAATTTTCAGTAAAAGAGATTGAGTAGAGATGTTAAATGTTTAATGTTAGATGTTAAATGCTGAATGTGTATGTCAAATACTAAATGCTTAATATTAAATGATACATGTTAAATGTAAATTGTTAATTGTTACATGTTACATGTTCATTTGTCTTCTTGTTAGTACTAACTTTTAGCACTCAATTTTGAGTAGCTCTAGTTTCGATCTACTCAAATTCCGTCGAAACTAGGGCTACTCAAAATTGATACTAACATGATGACAAATGAACATGTAACATGTGACAATTAACAATTTACATTTAACATGTAACATTTAATATTCAGCATTTAGCGTTTGACATACACATTAAGCATTTAACGTCTAACATCAAACATTTAACATTAGCAAATAAACTTTGACATGCACATTTAACATTAAACAATTAACATCTAACATTTATGCAATTACCATCTATCATTTGGCATTAAACATTTAACATTCATTTAAAAATAACCAATTTAATATTTAACACTTAACATTTATCATTTAACATTTAAAATTTCAAATTTAACATTTAGCATTTCACATTTAAAATTAATAATTTAAAGTATTACGTGTAAAATGTAACAAATAACATTTAACATTTAGCATTAAACATTTAGCATTTAATATTTAGCATTTAACATTTAGCATTTAACATTTAGCATTTAACATTTAGCATTTAACATTGACAATTCTCATTTAACATCTAACATATTACGTTTAGTATTTAGCATTCAACCTTTAGCATTGAGCATGTAACATTTAACATTCAGCTTTTAGAATTCATCATTTGGCAATTAACATTAAGCATTTTTAATTTTACATTTGAAATTTAGAATTTATTATGTAATATTTAACATTTTACATTTAACAATTTCTTATTCACAGTTTGTTTAACATTTAACATGTAACATTAAACAAAACAACAACGGCTATATTTAAAACGTCCGATCTACCGATGCTATTTATACGTTATCGCAGTTTCCTAGTCGATCACCATTTAAATTCGATGGCACTACAACAGTCTTTTGCGTGCACGCGCGTGAAAACACTTCAAGGAGTGCTTTGACGCTATTGCTGACGCATCGCAACGCGTGTACTATGACATGTGTAAGCGTTTCATCAAGCATTTTGCATGGACGTTCATCAAAGCAGCTCAGACGCACACGCACACGCGCACGCGCACGCTTCGCTAAACGCGTTACTATTAGCGAATTCGTTTATTATTCAGTTCCAACCTGGATCGGGTATCAAGATTGGGTCTGCTTGTTTTCTGACAAACGTCAGTTTGTTCGTTTGTTTTTAAAACCTAGCTCAGGTTGAGGTTCACACTGACAAAAAGTTCGGTTTCGCACTGGGTTGGAACTGGTTCCAACCCCGATAATAAACGAATTCGCTATATGTCATCGGCCTAATACAGCTTTCATTCGTTCGTGCGTGCGCTGTTGCCAATACACTTCGAATTCAGATCTGAACGTACGGTAGCAAGCGGCAGTAAAGCACACAAAGCAACAGTCAGTTCAGGTATAAACCAACTGTCGCGAGAAGGCTGTACTATTTGGAAGCCTGCTCCTAACATCTGCCGAACAAAACAACATCTTACTCGAGGAACAGTTTGGTTTTCGGAAAGGTCGTTCGACCGTCCACCAGCTGACTCGAGTGACAAACATTCTCAGACGGAACAAGTCTGTGTCGAAAACATCTGCCATGGCGTTGTTGGACGTTGAAAAAGCCTTCGACAATGTCTGGCAAGATGGCCTGGTGTTCAAATTGCAGCAGTACGGTCTTCCAATCTTCCTAGTGAAGATAATAAACAACTATCTATCGGATTCCGTTCCGAGTCTCTCTGAATACCATCACATCGGATGCTTTCAACATCGGTGCCGGGGTTCCACAAGGAAGCATCCTTGGCCCCATTCTATTCAACCTGTTGAAATGCGCCTGCCATCACCTCTAACTCCAAAGGATCCAAAAAAAGATCCTTAGGATGATCCTTAACAGTCCCCCGCTGACTAGAAATTCTGAGGTCCACCGCCTGGCCTGGTCTTCAGATACTGGAGTTACGGAGAGCTGACTCCATCGCAAGGTTCAGAGGTTGCTGTAGGCGATCCGATCAACAGATCGTCAGGGATCTGGCACGTTAGGTTAAGTAGGTAGAATAACAAATTAATACATTCAAACAACATACCTCACAAGAAGAAAATTGAAAAACATTACACAGTAAAAAACAACATGTACAACACAAAATCAAAAAGTCCACCAAAGATGAAGAGCCCTTCTGGCTAACCTCTTGCCCTGTACACTGAAGTCTTTTTTTACACGGTTTTTTTTTACGCGGTTTTTTTTACACGGTTTTCCACGATTTACATGGTACGTTTTTAACGATTTCTCGACAACGATACAACCTATCGACATGATTCCAATCACATTATCCGTTTCAAGCTATTTGTAATCGAATGGCATACTTAAAAAAAAAAATCACAATTTTTGGTGTAAATACAGAAATTTTTAAAATATGTCTATATGGACCATATCATGCTTTAATTACAAATGGCATCAAAATCCGATTTTTTAAAAACATTTAAGCATGCGAAAAATCAAAATCTCGTAGGTTTTTTTTACACGGTTTTTTTTTTACACGGACCGTATCCCCCGTGTAAAAAAAGACCTGAGTGTATTAGTAATTGTAAACCGCATAACAAATCAAAATAAAGAAAAAATTTACTACTACTAAACTTAAATTACACTTATGAACAATCCTCCAAGAAGCGCGGTGAAATTTCAAAAAATTCTACTCTTCTTAAAAGACCAAACAACTTGCCCTTGAATTCACCCGATTTTCTTACCCTAAAAACCAAATACTCCATTATTTGATAAACCACCAATCCTCTTCACGTAAACTCAAATGGTGAGACGGTAAATGGAAACAAACAAAAACGAACGGGTGTTGCATTCTCACCAATCGCTATCAGAAAATCCATCCAAAAATAAACCAGAGTGAGCAAACGTGAGAAGCGTGTACAAATAAGAATGATTCACTTTCGCTCGGCACACTGCTCACCATATTGTGTCAATCTTTCATCATCATTAGCAAATTGCAGTCAAATCTAAAGACGTAGAAGTGCACTTGTCCAATCAATAAATAGGAGCGTTAGGAAAACTGTTTATTTAGTAGAAATTCTGTCAAGTTTCAATGCAGTCTATTCAACGGAACGTTGCACGACTCTATCCTAGCGGATTAAGGTAGTTAGATATATGTTTAACATTACGCTCAGATAACACTCGTGAACCGCAAACTACAAAAACAAATTATGTAACATTTATTTTGCCGGGCAGGATTGCAAAAATGAGCCAAGTCGGTGAGTTGGGTGCCGGTGCCGGAAAGGGAGGCGGTGGTGGTGGAAGCATCCGGGAAGCTGGTGGATCCTTCGGAAAAATGGAAGCTGCTCACGAGGAGGAATACTTCTACAAACAGCAGAAGGAACAGCTGAAAAATTTAAAACCCAAGACTGATGGCGGTGCCGGAGGCGAACCCAAGGCCCAAGGAGGTGCCAAAAAGTAGATTGTAGTTTTTTTTTTATAAAACAATAAATATGTAAATTCAATGCAAGTGACTCACCTTTGTTGACCTTTCCAAAGCTGGCGACTCCAGTTTCGTGTATCATTTGTCCATAAACGGTGACCGAGTCCACATTCACATTATTAATGATATCACTGTCAACCGGAGTCCGCTCGAAGCTAACGTTCAAATCCCTATAGATATTTTTCCAATCCGTATATCGTCCGTCTTCTTGCAAACAGTAGCGATCATAAAATGGATCCTTCTTGACGTCGACTATCACTTTTGCCGTTTTCCTACTAGACAATATAACAAAATCGATCCCGGCGGTAATCTGAACCACATTTTCCGAAGTGATCTCTTTCACAGGAGCCAGCTCCTCATAATTCAGCAAACTTCCAAAATCCCCCTGAGCGTACAACTCATCTCCGCTCGAACTAGTCACGAGCAGTCCATTGTTATTGCAGCAAATTTTCTCGAACCTTATCTCACTATCTTCGAACAGCTGGCTCCATAGCTCGAACGAACCATTCTTTCCCTGGTACACTTTCCCTTCCAACTTGCTCACCAAGTAAACCCAATTCCCTTCCGTATCGAAATCAGCAACATCATCTCTCAGAAACCGGAATTCAATTGCCTTGTCCCGGAGTCGGTGCTCCCCAAGAAACAGTTTTCCATCCACCGTCAGCAGCAGGTAGTACTCTCCGCAACCCTTTAACTTGATTCCATATGTGAGCGGATGTTCCAGATCTCCACTGACCAACACCGACAGTCGACTTGCGTCACTCAGTTCACTGTAGACGGAAATTCCTGCAGACATATTTGATTCCTTCCCCTTCCACTACTGATTCATTGTTCACCCGTTCTTGTTCCGCGATCAAGTTAGAGATCAGCTGCTGCTGTGCGGATCCTTTGTTTACGATACACTCCAGACCGAAGACCTAATTTTTGTGGCCAACAAATTTCGTATCCGATTCACAGGCAAACGAAGAAAAACGACACCTTTCACTACGTTATCACCTACAAAGCGAAATCAGGCTACCTAAAATTATCACGATACTAATCCACTGATCCACTGATTTTGCAATGTGATAAGAATGGGAACGGAATCGAACGGACTGGACATTACGCGAAAAATTATGGAATGTTTTGGTTGGAATTCTTTTTTGTGGCCTAATTTCGTAATTATCGATTGGCGCATTGAAGCGCAAAGAAGAATGTCAAAATCGAACGGCAGGGATGTAGCAAAAGTCTACACAGAATAGACCATCACTGGAGATCTTCACGGTAAGAAAAAAGTACCCAAAAGTAAGTTCTTTTCACTCATCTCGGCACTAGTGCAGGAACCCAAAAGTAGGTAAAGCGGGTTAAAGTAGTTTTCTTTTCCTGCACTCAAAAAAATCCACACGTTCCATTCATGTGTTTTCAAATATGAATTTTGCCATTTGCCAGTCACCATGAAATCATGTGATTTACATTCGCATTTAATGGCATCAATGTCCAAAAATCACATGCCCTAGCTGTCGGTGAAATCAAAACAAACTACACTATAATTTCATGTGTTTACTTATTGAAATTTATGGGACCTCCGTATATACGGATAGAAATCTTCTTATACCTTTTGGCAAATTTGTATTGTTGATTATTCATAAAATGTATAAGTCAACTAATAAGCAGACGCCTTGCAAAAAGTTAATTAAGATCATGCGTCAAATGAAATGTATAAGCGGTCACACATACCATTTATGCATTACTATAGGACCTATGAGGTTTGTCTTATGGAATGTATAAGGCTGATGTTTTGGCAAAAATGTATAAGTGAAACACATGAATAAAATAATTGATTTTCGTTTCGTGTATGATCTGTTCTAATGTTTTCTACTATCAAATTAACGTGTATGGCACATGGATCTCATCAGTAGCAGGACGAGTGTCAAAAGAAATATTAAACAGAGTAACAATCAATGCCAATGTCAGTGTTGGGAAAATATCAAAAAATCAAATCTCACCCCACAATATTAATTTACGCTTTAATTTACTGACAATAATCTCGACAATAATTACTTTTCCCAGCAGTGAGACAGTAGTAGCATAGAGGTAACTCTAAGACCACTGGGTCCCGAAGAAAATCATTATTATTTTTGGCTCACTCAGTACCAGAACAACGGTCCCAAGCAGTCCCAAGCTATTTCACTCACCCCTGCATGTTCTGCATGAATCCACACACCCCTGATGTTATCTGTCAAACTTTCATAGCGAATCAAAACAAACATAGTGTAGTAATAGAATTTCAACTAGAATAGGGTACGTTAATCGTTTGCTTGGGACCAATAGGCTACTAAAGTGGTGAGCCAATTTAAAATCGTTAGTTTCGTATTGATTTTTGATATAACTCACGTGAAAAGCATAATCCAACACCGGTGACAAGTACTTCTGGCGGGTGGCGTTGACAATGTTGTTCAACTGAACACTCGAGTCCCAGCAGAAACTTTATGATGTTGCAGGAAAACTAGACCGGCCTTTCACCGGTTACGAGTATCTATTGTTCGGAGCGTTCTGGATTTCAATTATCGTTCTTTTGTTGAAAAATTGCGGTTTGAATGCACGTAGTTTTAAGATTATCCACCGAGTCGAGTATAATTAGATAAAAACGAGTACTGAACAAGATAAAAAATGGCTACAATAGAGCGGTTAAAAATCGACCAACCAGTGTGAAGGTGCACATTTTTTTATATTTTACCTTGGTCTATTTTAGTTTGACTGGTCCAAAAGTGATATAAATTTAAATCTAGAACAGACCACCGCTAACGATGCCCTAAGGCTTTGAATTTTGTACACGGAGAAAAAATACCACCCAAAATTTGAGTTCTTTGTACTTAATTTTGACTGCAGTCTCTCACTTGCACTCGTTATTGTTGTCAAAAAAGGAACAAGAGGTTCGAACCAACGATATAGTTTAGCCCAATGAGTTACTTTTGAGTAAATTGCATTTTCTCAAATTTACGTGAATTAAACTTAATTTTGGGTAGAACATACTTAAGAGTAGGTATTTTTTTGCTGGTGTTAAATATAAACTACTATACACGGTAACCAGCGTAAACACATAAATGAGTATAAAAATACACATTTTTTAGGTTTATATGCAGCTGTCAAAAAATGTGTAAATTTGGGGATCTTAAAATGTGTAAAAAATACACATTTTAAGAATGTAGTTCCAGTCAAAAAATGTGTATTTTTATACTCATTAATGGGTAAAAAAATACTTCAAACTTTGCTCTATCCTGCCTTGTTTACGCACGTAATTTGTATATATGTCAGTGAAGTACACCAGGAAAATGAAAGAACTACGGTCCAAGCTGGACAGTGCAACGATGGACATACTAGAGGGTAGGTGGTTTATACTATTTTCATAGTTAAGTTTTAGAAAAATAATCATAATCAATGTCCGGTGTCTCGCTTGCTTGCTTCATAATGATGTTTGTTTTTTCCTTGATTTGTTTTCCGTGCTGAGCACCAATGCTACTGACGCCAGGAAGGCAGCTCCCATACCTGGATCCTACCTATCGATCCATGAACTCATGAACCGGGGACCAATGGCTTTACTTCCTGTCCGAAGGAAGGCGCGATTCTCGGCGTGATGAGAGATGTTATGCCTCAGAACATCCCAGCGGTACCGCCTGGGATTGAAATCAGGTCTGCTGGGGTAAGAGGTAATCACGCTTATCACTATACCACCGGCGCCGTTACTGATTTTTTTTTATGGCATTCCTTTTTAATAAAATATTATTGTATTCGAGCAATCTTTATTTAATCTTTGACACAAATAAGAAAATTCCGAAGTTAATAAAAAACCATGCGCAACCATTGTATTTAAGTTTTAGAAATGATTACTTTTTACACATTTTGCTGTAAAACCCGTTCTTGAAAAATGTGTAAAAAATACACTTCTTTTGACGTTTGCTGGGTTTACACATAAATGTGTAAACGCAGTTTACACATTTTATGAGTAGGCCCATTTTTTCTCGAAATGTGTGAAATTTTACACATTAATGTGTTTACGCTGGTTACCGTGTATGCGATTTACTCAAATTTGGGTTACTGGGCTGAACCCCGGAATTGAGAAAAAAGTGCTTAATTTTGGGTAGTTTTTCATCTCTGTGTATATTTACCTTGGTACACTGTAACTGGAAAGTACTCATTAATGGGTGAAAAAGTGCCCATTTCGAAGTAAAGTAGATAAACTCATTTAATGGGTAAAACGTCTTTACCCATTAATGGGTAAAGACCTTGTACGTCAAATCATGGGGTACTTTTTTACCCATTTTTAAATAATAATTGTCTTTATAAAATGGGTACAAAGTACCCAATTTTGAAATCCTTAAACCAGGATTTTTCTTTTAGAATTTGTATGATTTATGGATCATTGAAAAAGCCACAATGAATAGTTAAGAATACAAAACGTTATTTATATTTATATCTTTATTTCACCATTTTCCATCCAGCGGTCTTTCCATCGTTCGTGCAAGAAATGGTGCTCCCAAAGCTCTCCTGGGATCACCTTGCTGATTCGGCTAGTTCTGTCCCTGCAAGTTTCAGATTGATTTTTAGATGTGGGCAGAAAGAAATAAAATAAGAAATACACACAAAAAATAATCATTTCTAAAATTAAAAAAACCATTGGTCAAATTAAAAGTTTTCGTTGGTTCTTTTTGGTAGAAAGTCCGAAGCATTCAGAATAAAAATGTGTAGCCTGTCAAATCAAAAGTTAAGCCCCTCGTTAATTTTAAAAGTTGAAGCTTTCGAATCAAATTGTAGAACTGTCAAATGAAAAACCAATGCTTTTAAAATAAAGTACAAAATGTTTCAAATAAAAAAGGTTTTTTTTTTTATCATGACAATATATGTTTTATCTCAAATTTGAAATATTATCAGGTTAATAGTTTTCAAGATTAAAGACAAATACCCTTACTCATATTTGTACCATTTATAAAAATTGTCTTTATTCATATACTTTATATAGAAAATGAAAATACATCATTGTTTTTGGAACCAGTGCAGATTTTGTCCGAGTCCTAGGATTCAAATGCCATCAACACCGATGAAAGAACACCACCTGCCACTGGAAACGACCACCACCCGAACTAGATCACTAATGGTCCAGGATAATTCATACATCATTGTGTTGTTGTTCAGCCGCTCTACATCCACATACCATCGGCTGTCAGATTCCGGAATGATGGGTTTGGTGCAATGTTACGGGGTTTTTTGCGCGGATTGTATTTTCTTCCAAGAGAGACGCTTTAGACTGTTACGGGATTTGTTGGCCGATGATGACAGTGATGTATACGGTGACAACCAGGAACCACCCGACGGAAACGCTTGTTTGCCAATAGTTAGCGGGCTGATCAATGTAGCTACAATGTTAAAATAAATTTAATCGATCCTAAGAAAAACAAAAATCCAACTCCCCTATCATTCGCTGTTGTAGCGGTGGAATCACAATCAAGTACCACTGTACTACCTTCACCGGAGGTATCTATCAAATAGTGATTCCACGCATTTGATTTCCGTAGAACGATTTGTTTTCCTCGTCTCGCCAACTCAAATTTGGCGGTAAATTAAGTGGAGTTCAGTGCTGCCAAAAACTTTACTATGAAGAGGTATTTTTGATAGCTGAACAACTTTTATTTTAAAAAATGTACTTTTAAAATTACAAGTCAGAAATGAAAGAAACACTTTCAAACCAAAGATATAACCAACAATCAATACGAAACTAACGATTTTAAATTGGCTCACCACTTTAGTAGCCTATTGGTCCCAAGCAAACGATTAACGTACCCTATTCTAGTTGAAATTCTATTACTACACTATGTTTGTTTTGATTCGCTATGAAAGTTTGACAGATAACATCAGGGGTGTGTGGATTCATGCAGAACATGCAGGGGTGAGTGAAATAGCTTGGGACTGCTTGGGACCGTTGTTCTGGTACTGAGTGAGCCAAAAATAATAATGATTTTCTTCGGGACCCAGTGGTCTTAGAGTTACCTCTATGATATAACTTTCATTTTGAAAATTTTCACAGTTAAAACTACGAAATTTAGAAAACTTTTATATTGAAATTGCATCATTTTTATAGCAACAATTTTAGTTATTTGTGTGTACCTACTTTTCAAACGAGCAATTTCCATTCGACATCGTTAAGGCACTTTGCGACTGAAGCGAGGACTGGAAGATGTTATCTAAGTTGCTTTGCACCCATTAATGAGTAAAAAAGTACTCATTATTCTCGCCCGAAGCGCTCTGAGAAATGGGTAAAAGAGTACCCATTATTTGAAATTGAACTTCACCCATTATTTGACAGCCTCATATAGTCATCAAAAATGGGTCCTTTTTTACCCATTAATGGGTACATGGCAGTTGCAGTGTATACACTGAACGAATTCCAAGCCGTTATTCAAAACTTAGAATAATTTTGAATTCGTGGTTAACCACATTTCAATCTTCTTAGGGCCGTTTTCTTCACTCCCGCTTAAATCTTAAACCAGGCTTACTCATATAGTTAAACCTGGTTTAAGGCTTAAGCGGAGGTGAAGAAATCGGCCCTTAATGTGTAAAATAATATCTGTTTGTTTAATATTTATAAAATGGGGAGAGTTTTTGTTTTACGCGTGTTTCGTAATTATTGATTGACCCTTAATAAAAGTCTACAACGTATTTTCACCCATTGATTCAGCCCTGCAATAAGTAAACAATCATACGAAATTGTCAAACCGAAAATCAAAAACATTTTTCTCGTGCGTTGTACACATCTCGTTACTCGTGTTTCCTATTTATTTCACGATTAAAATACCTCTGCTGGGAAAATGTCGAAAATAAAGCACACAACCGAAAAAGCATTGCAATTGCTTCGAACCCTACCGCGCGTTTCCATTGCGAACATCAGGGATAATCCGAATTCCAAGAAACCGGTAAGTGGCCCTCGGTTGCATGTTTACATAATCCCATCTTATAACAGCATAATATGTTTCAATATTTTAGCAAAAGCGCGGCCGCGCACAACACGGTGGTGACAAACACGGCGCCGGCAACAAGGGTTCCAACCAGCGACAAAACTACATGCGACTGGGCTACGAAACGGGCAACTCGCCGTTCTATCTGCGCTTCAGCTACGAACCGTACTACAAGGGTCACCATCTGAAGCGCGAATATCCCCCGATCAGTTTGCACCAGCTGCAGAAGATGATCGACACCAACCGGCTCGATACTAGTCAACCGATCGATTTGACCACGATTTGCAACACCGGATTGTTTCAGGTTCGACCGGACCAGTTGCACCATGGAGTACAGATTACGGACGAGGGCGCCGATGAGTTCCGTGCAAAGATTAATCTGGAGGTGCAACATGCTCCGGAGTTGGTGATAGCGGCGATTGAGAGAGCTGGAGGAGTTATCCGGACGGCCTATTACGATCCGCACAGTTTGTTTGCAGTGGTGAATCCGAAGAAGTGGTTCGAGAAGGGTGTTCCTATTCCGAGGAGGATGTTACCACCGCAGGATGCAGTGGATTACTATACAGATGCGAAGAACCGAGGGTATCTGGCGGATCCGGAGGAGATCAGTAGGGAGCGGTTGGTGCTGGCGCAGAAGTATGGGTACGAGTTGCCGAAGATCGAGGAGGATCCGGATTATGAGATGCTGGCACAGGCGAAGGACCCTCGGCAGATTTTCTATGGGTTGAATCCGGGATGGGTGGTCAGCTTGAAGGATCGAGCGATCATTAAGGCGAAGGGAGGTGAGTAGTAGGGTTTGAATTGTGTGGAAATAGAGATTGTGTGTTGTACTAGTTGAGATGTTGCGGTGTTATTTCGGAGAAATTCCTTTCGAGAGAGAAGTATGGTTAGAATCTGGGTTTTTATTCAATATAATAGCTACATACAATTTAGTAGAATGAAATCTTTTTACAAATGAACGGCTTTTCTAAAACTATATCACTTCTCTGATTGTAACATCTTTTCTTTCGCGCATTGAAATCTACGTACTATCTTAGGATCTTACAATTCATAAAGCTATTTATAATAAATCTAATTCAAAAACCTCATCACGATTCCGACGACAGCAGCCAAGATCACCGAGGACCATTGCCTCTTTCCAGAACCGCTCTTGAACGGATTCAACCCGGGTCCATCAAAGTCATCGTAGATCGGCGTTCGATTGTAGGTGGCATAGTACCAATCCATGTCCTCTCGCTTCCGTATCTCATTGCCCTCGATCGGGTGATGATGGTGCTGTGCCAGATCGACGATATTCTGCGTAACAAAGTCACCTCCGTTGTCGTACTTGGACACGCTTCGATGCGTCCCGGCCGAGAATTCGTCCACACGTGGAGAACTTCCCACAAACGGGGTCACCGTAGAGGAAACAGGAGAGGCAACCTTCACGATCGTGGACTTGCCGGGCGGTCGCTTTGTGGCACTTGATCCTCCACCGCTGCCACTGGGTACAGTGTTCTGTTGAGCCGCTGATCCTGGTGAGACCAGCGCCGAAAGGGAGCTTGGAGAGTGGTTGACTCCGTCGTAGAGCTCGCTTGTTGGTGCACGGGTTAGCTCTCGGGTCATAGTGGGTTCGTTCTTGTGCAGAGTGTAAGGTTTGTTGAAACTCAGGGGCCCAACTGTGGTAGCGGTTCCCAGTTCGATCGAGAGACGCGTGGTAAGATCGGACTCTTCGTATTTGGAAGCTCCTCGGAATGGTGTAGCTGGTTCCTGGTCAATCTCCTCCTCCGTATCCTCTTCTTCTTCGCCGTCCTCATCGTCATCTTCTTCCATTTCGGAGTTCTTCGAAGGGTTCGGTTTCTCCGTTATCTCGGAACGATTTGTGCTTTCTTTGGTGTTTTCTGAATCCTTGGGTGGTGCAGCGTGGTGAGACGTGGGTGGTGGATTCCCGTGGGTTATTCCATCGACAAAGTAGGGAGCATGGTGAGACGGCTTGATGGTCGCTTCGAATTTATTCTTCTGCAGATAGCGCGTCGTATCGGATACCAGAGGAACGCGATCGCTGAATTCTTCCGGCCACTTTCCAGGGCCGGAGATGTTCTGCTTGATGATCTTGATCGTAGGATCGGTTATTGGCTTAAAGCCACCTTCACTGCCAGGAATTACCGGAGTGAAACCACCCTTTTGGATGTCAGGTTTCTGGAAGGACGTCTGGAAGTAAGGCCTATAGAAAAGGTTGTTGTCGTTGGAAGCTCCTGGATTCTTCTCTTGGTTATCGTCGGAAGTTTTCACCGCGATGGCCGAATCCAGTCGATCGCCGTTTTTGTAATTCGACGGGCCCGCCGGGTCATTTGGACGGTACACCTGAACCCTTCCTTTTCCCCTAGTTCCCGCAGATGCTCTATTGTTGGAACTTCGCCCGGATCCTCCGAACATCTTCCCAATGTTCAAACTGGGGATCGGCACTCCAAAGAACGTAAACGGCGAGTTGTTCTGCACTGTTGGTGGTGGTTGATTGTACAGGTTGTTGAATTTGTTATTGTTGAAATTGACGAAACCCTGGCTGAAGTTGTGCGGGCCTTGAGGGTCTCCTGAAATAGTAGATCCATTAATTTGTCCCACCAGGTTACTATCGTTCAGTGCGTTGGGGTAGTCAATGTACTGGTCCAAGAAGTACTCACTTTCCACCGGCGATGGCGGGATGGCGATGCTGCCAGGACCAATTCCCGGTGCCGGTCCCGGAGGCAGCGTTTCGTAGCTCTCCGATTCACAATCATCGAAATCTAGACCACGCGTGAAGACGTCCCCATGATCGTTGGTCAATGGAATACGTTCATCTGGACCAGTGCCAGCTCTTGCACCAGTGTTACATTCATTTCTAGACAGACGCAAATCCATGAGCAATTTCCCGTCCCGACATCGCGGACCTGGGTAGAGATTTCCCGTTTCCTGAAGCCAACCACGGTACCACAGCATATCGCAGTTGCAATCCAGCGGATTACCTGAAATGATCAATCTTTATAATTCTATACCAAAAACCAAATTCAACCGCAACTCACCATCAATATCCAGAATGGCAATGTTGCTTCGCAAATTACGGAATACCGATTCCGGGACCCGAATCAGCTGGTTGTTGCGAATGCTCAACACCCGCAGTCTAGGCATCGTGGCGAACGGTTCGCCCTGAATTCCGCAGATTTTATTATTGTCGAGCTTCAGTTCGACGATCCAATCTAGACCACGGAGCGGGTTGGGCGTGATCTTTCGGATGAAATTCCCGGACAGATCCAGCACCTCCAAATTACGTACACTTCGTAATCCTACGCTATCCAAGTTGCGAAATTGGTTCGATGAGAGGTTCAGATACACGATCGACGGTGACCGGTAGAAGGTCTGTGATGCGACGAACTGCAGATTATTCTGCTGCAAGTGAACGGCCTGTTGGGAAAAAAGTCACAATACAGTTATTCATAATTAAGCTAAACCTTCAAGCTACTCGCCTGTAGATTCGGTAGATCTTCAAACACTCGATCTTTCAAATCGGTGAGCTTATTGTCAGCCAATACTATCTCCTGTAGTTCGGGCAAATTACGCAGCGATCCATGCTCCAGATTCGTCAACTCATTACTTGACAAATCCATGTACTGAAGCAGCGGTAGGTTTCTCAAGGATCCTTGATGAAGCTGATTCACCCGATTGTTGGAAGCCTTCAGCTCTTCCAGGTTTCTCCACGAGCCAAGGACATTCGGCGTCAGATCCGTCAGTTCGTTGAAACTAACGTCAATCTCCCGCAGCTCACTTAATCCAGTCAACGATTCCGGTAATTCTCTCAACTTGTTGGCAGACAGATCAAGTACCTGCAGCGATCGACTATTCCGGAAAGCCTTTGCCGAAATATCCACTATACTGTTTCGCGAAGCATCGAACCGCTCCAAGTTTCCGTTGCTATCCAAAAGGTGATCGACAAGCACCTCGATCCGATTGCCCTGCAGGTTCAGCTCCCGTAGGTTCTCCAGTGAACTCAGCGACCGCTCGTGAAGAGCCAGTAGCCGATTGTCCTGCAAGTTGAGTAGCTCCAGGCGATTCATCCCAGTTAGGCTGCCTTCGTCTATACTTTGAAGCTGATTTCTGGCCAAGCCGAGGATTCGCAGCTGAGGGGTCGACTGGAACGTACCTTTGGCAAGTCGAGTCAAGTGGTTGGCGCTTATATCCAGCATTCTCAAAGCTGGCAGATCCAGGATGTTGGAAGGTGGTTGTGGTAGTGTTGCGATTTGATTCCGCTGAAGGTTTACCCTTTCGACGGCTAGCGGTAGTCCCGGAATGAACTCCTGAAGCTTGTTATTGCCAGCGTCCACCTCGAAGAGGTGGTTCAGATCACGGAAAGTTGCTGGGTGGATCAAACTCAATTCGTTAAACGAAATGTTCACTGTTTCAAGCATCGGGCTGTTTACAAAGGCAGCTGGATCGAGAACACTCAGCGAGTTTCCGCTGATGTCGAATCTTCGCAGGGATGGCACTCCAATCAGGAGGGTTGGTTCTACGCGGTGAAAGTTGTTGTACGAGATGTCAATGCCCTTGAGCCCGGGAAGATTCCAGAAGGGCATCGGAAGCACATCCGAAAGGGAATTGTTACTCAGACGGAGCTCGCGAAGTCCTGGCATAGCCATGAAAGCATCCCGCTCGATCATCCTAATCTTGTTGTTGTTCAGGTACAATTGTTCCAAAGTACCATGACCTCGTAGAGCTCCGAATGGGATCGCTTCCAGTTTGTTGTAACTCAGATCCAAGAACCGAAGCATCGGCAGGGCATCCAGCAGTGAGCGAAGTTCTTCAACGCGAGCAACTTCATTCTGCTGTAGATGGATAACTTCCACTCCGCTTCCGGAAGCCTGCAGGAACGACTCCGGATGAACTCGTCTCAAATAGTTGTTCTCCAAGTGAACCAACTTCAAGCTGGGCGTCCTATGAAACGCACCGTGAAATATCTCCGTAATTGTATTGTCATTCAGGTACAATTCCTTCAATGCCGGAAGATCAACGAAACTAGCTTCGTTTAGTTTGGAGATCACGTTCCGGTCCAGCTTCAGCACTGTCAAATTAGGAATGTCCTTCACTGCCCGTCCGATCATTCCAGCATCGGCAAGCTTATTTCCGCTAAGCTGCAGCGTCTTTAGACTTGGTAGTCCAGCGAATGCCCTCAGATGGACCCAATCGATCCCGTTTTCAGACAAGTTGATCAAACTCAACTTGGGCAGATCGTTGAATAATCCACCTTCCAACCGCGTCAACGTGCGACTACCGGCAATGCTAACAGTTTCCAGATTCTTCAAATCTCGGAAACTCTGTGGAGACATCTCGATCAGGGATGAGCTCTGCACCGAGATGTACCTCAGCTTCGGTAGACTGGAAAAGTCCGGCAATCGCTTCAAACTATCACTCTGAATCGTTACGGCTTCCAGTTTGCGCAAACCTGCCAGGCTGTCCACCGGAAGACTACGTAGATTTCGTTCAACGATGAACACCTCGACCAAGCTCTTGTCCAGATCGTTCAACCACCCGTTGGAAACTCGTTCCAGACCATTGTGTCGCAGCATCAACCGAAGGATGTTCAACGGAGCGAAGGTTCGTCCGGGTAGAGAAGGGAGGAAATTGTTCTCCAGTATCAATTCATCAATGGGTCTATTGATGGATTTGGAAACGGCTTTCAAACCGGTCAGTACACGTGGCAAATCGCTGTGCGAGCACCTGTGGATGAAAGGTTGTTCCAAAGATCACTAACCGTTTCGCGGGATAGGAGGGTCATACTCACCATATTTGAATTTCGCTACCCCGTTGGGAACATCGACAGGGCAGAATGATATCTTGCGGAGGACAAATTGTGTCCCGTTGACCTGAGGCACCGTGCCAGCTTCCGGCGATGGCAGCGAGCAACCCGATCGTCAACAGAAGCTTCGAGGGCTTCACGTTCGATCGTCTGCCACATTTTGGTAACAGTTTTATGATTTTCTCCATCTTGATTCGGATCTCGTCGTAGACGGAACGGTAATGTGCATTCAATACTATCCAAATTTATCGTTCGGTGAATCTGTTTTCATTTTCTGCCGGTTCGGTACTTTCACTTTCAATGTTTTCATATCTCATTATAAATGCACAACAAAAGAGTCCGGCAAGGTTTTATCTTATCGTCAATTGGTGGTAGTTCATTTTCCTGTGGCCACTCGTAGGTTTATGGGTGCATTCTTTGCGTGGGCTGCTGAACATAAAGGAAGGGTAACGGATGAGCTTTGCTGTTCATCATCTTCGCTGGAAGAGGTTAACGTTAGTCAGTAATTGTGTGTTATGGTAAATATAATTATTCACGCATGGCTTGTGGTGATTATATGGGATTTATTTAATTAAAACTTCAAATATGCTCTTAACGCGAAGCATACCGAAATGAACATCATTTTTTGGCACGATTTTATTTTTTCTAAAAACATTGGAAAAACATATCATAAATCATTGAAAATCAGTATTTTCCTGTGATTCTTATGTAAATTTATATATAAACACATTATTATCTATTAAATCATTTCTAGGTGGGCGTTGACCAGATTTGGATTTTTCAGATATAATCTTAAATAGGACCTAGATTATTTAACACTCCGAATACGGTGGGTAAAAAACTAGCCGACTACGAAGCCTCCAAAAAAACGTGTAACGGCAAGTTTGCAATGGCACAACTTAGCCATTTCTTAATGAATTTCAAAAATTGTGGTACCTTTAGAATTCCTAGGGTTTCTAGATGATTTTGATTGCAAACTTGGAAATAGAGTCGTCTACTCTTTTAAAAAGCGAAAAGAGTTGTTACACGTTTTTTTGAAAGGTGTGTTTGTAGGGTTTTACAAGTGGCGCAAGATCTGTAATTTAGATTAATGGGCACAAATGTTCACAATTAGCCAGAATACAGTCATGGTTCCTATATATGGATCCTGGAGACAACGGAACGGTCCTCGAAAAATTCGGAACATCCGTAAAAATGGTCAATCCATGATCCTGATCCTACACCTCTGCGGTTTTTTTTAAAAAACATTAGGAACTGTGATACAAAAAAATATTTGGGGTCGTGACATAAACATGTACCTGGATGGCCATGGGACCGTCCTCCGGATGATCCGGAACATCCGTAAAAGTGGACCATCGATGAAACTGATCCTAGAGCTCCGTGTTTTTTTAACATTAGGATCTGTGATATAAGAATTAATTTGGGTCATGGACCCAGATGGCCATGGGACCGTCCTCCGGAAGATCCGGAACATCCGTAAAAGTAGTAAATCCACGATCCTGATCCTAGAGCACCGCGTTTTTTTTATAAACATAAGGAACTGTGATGATAGAAAGAATTCGGGCTTGTGACATAAACATGAACCTGGATGTCCATAGGACCGTCCTCCGGAAGATCCGGAACATCCGTAAAAGTGGACCATCGATGAAACTGATCCTAGAGCTCCGTGTTTTTTTTAACGTTAGGATCTGTGATATAAGAATGAATTTGGGTCATGGACCTTGATGGCCATGAGACCGTCCTCCGGAAGATCCGGAACATCCGTAAAAGTGGTCAATCCACTCTCCTGATCCTAGAGCTCCGCGTTTTTTTTTAAACATTAGGAACTGTGATGATAAAAATAATTTGGGGTTGTGACATAAACATGAACCTGGATGTACATAGGACCATCCTCCGCAAGATCCAGAACATCCCTGAAAGTGGTCAATCAATGAAAATGATCCTAGAGCTCCGCAGTTTTTGAAAAAAAAACACTAAGAACTGAGATGATAGAATGAATTTGGGGTCGTGACATAAACATGGATCTTGATGGGTATGGGACCGTCCTCCGAAAGATCCGGAACATCCGTGAAAGTGGAAAATTCACGAAACTGATCCTAGAGCTCCGTGGTTTTCTTGAAAACGTTAGGAACTGCGATATTAGAATGAATTTGGGATCGTGACATAAACATGGACCCAGATGGCCATCGGACCATCCTCCGCAAGATCCGAAAATTCCGTTAAAGTGGTCATTGTATGAAACTGACCCTAGAGCTCCACGGTTTTTTCGAAATCACTTGGAACTGTCATATATAAATTAATTTGCGGTCGTGACATAAACATGTACCTAGAAGGCCATGGGACCATCCTCCGCAAGATCTAGAACATCTTTAAAAATGGTCAATCCTTGAAACTGATCCTAGAGTTCTACGGTTTTTTCGAAAGCATGTGGAACTGCGATATAAGAAAGAATTCGGGGTCATGATATAAACACGTACCGGAGACGAACCAGCCCAGGGCTGAAAGTCTCCTTAATAAAGATAAAAAAAAAACATGGACCTGGATGGCCATAGGACCGTCCTCCGGAAGATACGGAACATCCGTAAAAGTGATCCAGAGGTTTCTTATATCACAGTATTTAAAAAAGAACTGCAGAGCTCTAGGATCAGTTTCTCAGTATGATAAATTTACGGATGTTCCCGATCTTTTGGAGGACAGTCTCATGGCCATCCGGATCCATGTTTATGTCACGACCCTAAATTCTATCTTAAATCGCAGTTCCAAGAGTTTTCGAAAAAAAACCACGGTTTTTTCACAGTTTCATCGATGATCCACTTTTACGGATGATCAGGATCTTCTGCAGGACATTCCAATGGCCATCCAGGTTCATGTTGATGTCTCGACCCTAAATTATTTCATATAGAAGTGTTTTCGACAAAACTACGGAGCTCTAGAAACAGTATCATGGATGGACCATTTTTACGGATCTTCCGGAGGACTGTCCCATGGTCATTCGGTTCCATGTTTATGTTAAGACTCCAAATTCATTCTAATATCACAGTTCCACGGTTTTTCTTTCTTGGATCAATTTTATGGCTTGCAATCGGGCTAAGGCCTTGTTGTCCTCTGCTGTCCGAAGAAGTCGTATCCACTCTACTCGATCTATGGCCAGACTTCACCAGCCTCGTAGTCTGCGAAGGGTACGCAGGTCGCCTTCTACTTGGTCAATCCAGCATAGTCACGGTCTCTTGGCTGTAGACGACAACCGGTCTAATCAGCTTCTCCGGAGCGTCCTCCGGACTCCAAAGTAGGTACGATTCCCTGCCATAATGCGTCTTTGAAATTCTTTGCTGGTATCATTTTCGACGGTCACCAGTGAGCCCAAATACACGAACTCATCGACCACCTCGATTTCGTCACCGTCAATCTGAACTCGGGGTGGAAGGCTAACATTGTCTTCCCTAGAACCTCTTCCTTTCATGTATTTTGTGTTTAATGCGTTGATGGCAAGTCCAATCCACCTAGCTTCAGCCTTCAGTCTGATGTACCTTTCCGCCTTCGTCTCAAAGTTCCGTGCCATGATGTCGATGTCATCGGTGAAGCCAAGAAGCTGGATGGACTTCCTGAAAATCGTGCCACTCGTGTTTATCCCTGCTTTTCTGATCACACATTCTAACGCAATGTTGAATAGCAGACACGAAAGTCCATCACCTTGCCGTAACCCCCTTCGAGATTCTAAGGGACTCGAGAGTGTCCCCGATACTCGAACAACGCACATCACTCGATCCATCGTAACCTTAACCAATCACGTCAGTTTATCTGGAAATCCGTACTCGTACATAATCTGCCATAGCTGATCACGATCGATTGTGTCGTATGCGGATTTGAAATCGATAAACAAATGATGTGTAAGCAAGTTGTATTTGTGGCATTTCTGTAGAGCCTGCCGAATCGCGAGTATGAACCCATGAATCTCTGCTGGTATTGCCCAAGAAATCTCTTGCAAATGGTGACAGGCGGTGGCGTATAATTTGGGAGTGTACCTTGTAAGTGGCGCTCAGGAGTGTGATCGCGCGGTAGTTGCAGCAATCCAACTTGTCGTCCTTTTTGTAGATTGGGCATACAACACCTTGCTTCACTCCTCCGGTAATATCTCCTCCTACCAAATCTTGGCAATTACCCAATGCAGCGCTCTAGCCAGTGCTTCACCACCGTATTTTAATAGCTCACTTGGTTGTTGATCTACACCAGTTGCTTTGTTGTTCTTCAGTCGACCGATCTCCTCCTCAACTTCTTGAAGATCAGGGGCCGGTAGCCTGTCGTCTTCTGCACGTGCTCCAAGGTCTGTTGCCGTGCCACCTTCGTTTTCTGCTGCATCGCCGTTGAGGTGCTCGTCATAGTAAAGCTTCCACCTCTCAATTTTATGAAGTGACCATTTTACGGATGTTGTTGATCTTCCGGACGACGGTCCCATGGCTATCTATCATGTTTATGTCACGATCACAAATTCATTCTTATATCACAGTTCCTAATGTTTTTGGATAAAAACTGCGGAGCTCTAGGATCAGTTTCATTGATTAACCTCTTTTACGCATGTTCTGGACTTACCAGAGGATGGCTCCATGGCCATTTGGGTCCATGTTTATGTCATGACCCCAAAATATTTCTTATATCGCAGTTCCACATGCTTTCGAAAAAAACCGTAGAACTCTACCCAAGTAACAATTCAGTAACCATTTAGCATCCACTCTGATTTATGATGGTTTTATAACGGCAATGAACAATCCATTTAGTTTAAATATAGCATTTTAAAGTGTAAAACATTCCTGCTTAGAAATTCAGCTTTTTGCTGTTTTAAAAACCTTTTATAGTCTGGCAAGAAAGTCAAAAACTGCCTTGTTTTAAAAATAAATTTAAAACAGTTATCAATTCCTCCTTAAAACTGTTCTGTAATTCAAGCATAAACGTCATTAGCAATTGTTTATTAATGTCATGATAAAATACTTTATAAACGTGTTCTATCATTATAAAAGCAACCATAAAACAATTAGGTTTTGCATGAGAGAAAAAAGCATTTATTGTTGCTTTTTAGCCTTTTTAAAAGCATCATTAACTCCCCAATTACTTTGTTTACAAATTGAGCTTAAAAGACGGTTCCTCATAGTTAAAAAATGCCAAATTTATGACAAGGAAATCTCGAAGGATAGACGAAGTAGGATGAAAAAATCAAGTCAATTTCAGATAAATTTACTTCTTTAGAAGAACCAGCACACCACTAACGGCTGACCATCTGTCGGAGAAGAGTAAAGTGAGCGGGCCCTCGAACTCATAAAACATTTTCTAAAGTTGAAAAACATACCAGCCTTCTCCCGATCTTGCGATGACAATCGAAATAACAACCGACAGCAAACCACTGAAACTGTTAGTTAGCGGAGATCAGCTGGTCT